GCTTTGCTACTCACAAGCAAGGAAGAATTGACTGGAGATGTGATAATCAATGGCAGCCTTCACTGTAGTAACTATGAAATAACTTGAGTTCGGGATCCTGAGGGTGGTGAGGAAAGAACAGCAGAGTACGGAGCCAGAGACCAGGCTTCAGCTTGTTCAGGGAACTGGTTAGCAAGATCCCTTGAGAGGCAGCTTTGAAGGGAAATGGAGCTAAGGAAAGCTACTAGGTCTTTCAGGACAACCTCGTCCAAGCAAAAAACTCAGTAAAACAGGCAGACATATCAGTAGCTGGCACCTAGCTGAGCAGGGAAGTAATGATTGAACAATGGAGAAAAACATTGAACAATGGAGGAGGTGGAATCAGGAACAAGCAACTAAGGAGGAACTGACTGGACATGTACAGATGGTGTTGGGAAAGCCCAAGCTCACCTGGTGTTGAAACTGGCAAGGGATGTTATGGGCAACAAGAAGAGCTTCAACCACCACAGGGGCAATAAAAAAATAAACAATGAAAATGTGTGCTAGCTGCTGAATAGGTCAGGTGATTTACTGACAGTGGATGCAGATAAGGCTTTGACTTCACCAGCAAGGTCTTGTGGTCCTTTGCACCTACAGAGTTCAAGGAGGAGAGAAACTACCAGTACTGGAAGAGGATTAAGCCAGGGATCTCTTAAGAAATTTTACTTATAGAAATCCCTGGGAGAAACAGATGGGATCTGTGGGAAGATGCTGAGAGACTGTCTAATGACACCACAGGTCCATTCTCTCATATTTCAAAAGTTGTGGAGATTAAGGGAAGTCTCCAACAACTGAATAAAGGCAAATACTGCACCCAGCTTACAAAAAAGACAAGAAGGATGACCTGGGGAACTACATATTGGTCAGTCTCATTTTTCCCTGGAAAAATAATAGATCAAATCCTCTCAGAAGTCATTTCTAGGCACAAGAAGAAGAAAGTGACTGGGAAAAGTTAGCAAGGATTCACCAAGGATAAATCACGGCTGACCAACCTGATTGCCTCCTGTGATGATACGACCCAATTTGCGGAGGAGGGGAGAACAGTGGATGTCACTTACTTTGACTTAAGCAAGGCTCTTGACACCATTTCCCGCAGTATCCTTGTATCCAAGTTGAGATGTTACTATTTAGACAGAGGGATGGGTGGGAAAACTGGATGTAACATCAGGCTCAAAGGGTATTGGTTAATTGTTTTTA